TTGAAGAAGGAGAAAATCTGTTATCAATCACTTTATCCCAGCAAAACTATCATGGAATTAGAATATAAGAGTTCTCAACAAAATTGTAATGAATTGCTGTATTTAGTTTGTGGGTTATCCTTCCTCTATAAGTTTTTCATCACTGAGACCAAATACCCAATATACACAATTTAAAGGAGGAAGGGTTTAATTTTGCTTATGATTTCAGAGGGTTCAGTCCATGAATGCAAAGCAGAAACACTATGACAGAAAGCCTTGGTAGAGGAATGCTGCTCAGTTTATGATGACTGAGAAGCACGGTAGGGAAATAGTACCCTCCAAAGGCATGATATGTACCCTCCAAAGGCATGACCCCTGTGGCCTACCAAGACATATCCAGAAGTGTGCTCTACCAATCCCTTGGCAACTCCCAAGACAATCAAGTTGACAATTAAATTTAAATGTCACATTTCACTTTTGTCAACTTGACATCAAAACACATATCCTTAAACCTCTCTTAATCTCCAAATGAAGACAGTAATAAGTTCATAATTCTGCTGAACATAATACAACTATCCTGCATACAACCAAAAATGGAATTATCCTTTCCCAAAATCTCAACAGTTCCATCATTTCTCAAATGCTCAAGCCAGTATTCTTTTCTGAGATTTAAAATAAACTCTTAGCTGTAAATCCCTTAAAAATTCAAAAAATCAAGTTATGTATTTCCAATATACTATGATATATTTCAATACGCAGGAATAGGGAGATTTAAAAAAAAAAAGAATAAGATCAAAGCAAGATCAAAGCCCAGTAGTGCAATAAGTCCTACATCCATGGCACATAATGGTCAGATGTGTATTCCAGAATGGCTGGTAGTCCCACCCCTATGGCCTAGCACGTTGCAACTCACATGGCCTCTCTCTTGGGCAGGCTCTACTCCTGCTAATGTCTTTCCTGTTTCACATTCCTGACACCTCTGAGTTCCTGGGGTTTCCACCACAACTTCAGCTTCATTCCCACAGCTTTGTGCATCTACCTCTAAGAAGCACACTGCCTAGCCTTCTAGACCTTCCTTTGAAATTTGGGTGGAAGCTTCTGTGATCCCACAACTATTGCATTCTACATACCTGGACAACCACATGGATGATACCACAATCTACTACCAGCTACGACAGTAACAAGGCACACTTGGACCATGCCTGCAGTGGCTTCTGAGTACCTGGATAGCTGAACATGCTAAAATGAACCTTGGGGAACCAATTCTCTAGATACCATTTCTTGAGCCAAGGTTTATGCTTTTGTGCCCTTCAGACTGCAGTGGGTGGGGTCTTGCACATATCTCAGATGCCCTTGCATTTTTTTCTTGTTCTTATTCAAAGATTTGAACAAGATACATGATTTCTTTTTAATGGTCCTAATCTCTTCAGCAACTGCACCCTCTTTGGCCCCAATATTATGCATGTTTCTATTTGGGCAAAACTTAAGTTTTTAAAAATTTTCTGGTTGCTTTTTTTCCCCCAGTCTTCACTATAAGTCTGGCTAAAAGCATCTAGGAATATCCATATAACAGCCTGAATGTTGGGATGCCTTAAAATTTCCTCTGCCAGATAAATTAGTCTGTCATCTTTAAACTCAGCCTCATGCAAATCCTCAGGACATGGGTAAAATTTACATATATTTGCTAGAGTGTAGCACACATGACTTGTAGTCCATTTCCCAGTAGAGGACTCATTCCCAGCTGATACCTCAAGACCTGGCTTTTACTGTTCACATTTCTATTAACTTTCTGGTCTTCTGAGCTCCCACCAAAATCACAGATCAGGCTCTACTGATAGAATTTTAGTTTTTCTATGGCCTACATCTCTAAACTCTTCCAAATTCCTCCTTCAAACCAATTCCAAATGCTTCTGAACTATATGGTCAGACATAGTCACAGTAGTGACCCCACTTTTCTGGTATCATTTTTTTTATTAGTCAGCTTTTTGTCATTGGGACAAAGCACAGTTTAATGGAGGAATTTATTTTTACTCATGGTTTCACAAGGTTCAGTCCATAGTCAACTGGCTCCAAAGCAGAAACATCATGGTGAAAGGGCTTGGAGAAGGAATCCTGCTCACCTCATGGTGGCCAAAAGCACAGCAAGGGAGTAACACCAGGGAGAGATATACCCTCCAATGCCACAAATAATCTGCCTAGACACATCCAGAAGTGTGCTTTGCCAATAGGTGGCTCTCAGTCCAATCAACTTGATAATTCACTGTTACATTCCCTAAACCAGTCTCCCTTCCTCAATTTACTTTCATTTCTTAAAAAAAGAGAGCTTGTCCTAAAAATTTTGTATCCTAGGATAGCATGGACATTAAAGGTGGATATTTCTGCTCCACCTTGTACTTCCTGAATGACTTTGAACAGGTTTAAGATGACCATGTCTGTGGTGAAGTACTTAGTTCTTGGGACAAAGTAATGTTAGTTAGTAAGTCCCTTGTTAATAGTGTTCTCTTTATTGTGATGGTGATGTTATAACCTTCATGCAGGGCTATCTCTGTTTTTGCTCAAATCAATGAAAATCCAACATCAGCACTTGGTTGATCTAAATACAACAATGAAAAGGCAAAATCACAACCTCCTTGCCAAGCATCCAAAGCCCTTTGCATGTCACCCCTACCTCTTTTCTGCAACATCTCCATCCCTGCCCTCTTCCTGCATCCTCTGTGATGTAGTCAAACCAAATTGTCTACCACTGTCTGCCTGACATAATTTTACCCCTTCTCTGACTACAAAATGTACAGACTTACCTATCATCCTACTCACTTCTAGATATGTCTAGGTAGATTATTGGTGACATTGGAGGATATATCTCTCCCTGGTGTTATTCCCTCAAGTTCTAGGTGGATTTTTTTCTTTACAGGTTTATTTTTTACTTACACATTTCCCTTACCCTCAATAACTTTATTAAAGCTCCATTTAAATTATTTCTCCTTAGTAAGGCCTTTCTCTGTGCATCTCCACAAAAAGTTATTCTCCTACTAGATTACAACCATATTCATTTTAAAGGATAGAGATACCATTACTGTTTACCACCCCATCCCCATCATAGCAATCTAGAACAGAGGAGGATCCCCAAAGGAGGTCCTTATTTTGTTGAGTAAGATAACAGGCAGGACTGTACTGTCAGAGAAGCAGTAAAATTATGTTGTTTATGAGAGTAGAGAGGATTGGAAGATAAGATGGCAAGAATTAAACTAATGGGCCAAAGAACAGAGAAGAAAAAGAGATGCAATCTGAGAGAGAGAGAGAGTTTTTTAGTCAATTATCATCAGTTTTGAATTTGGCCAAAAATCTGCAAAGATAAAAATTTTATTATATTGGTGATGGGCAGGCAGATGAATTTTGATGAAGTCAGATCTGCAAGACAGTGATATCTGTGTGACAGACTAATTCTTAGCTGAAAAAAGCATGGACCAGAGAGGAGGACTGGTAATTTGAATTGTGAGCAAATATGATGTTTCTAGAAGTTGTACTTATCCTAGGTTGGCCTGGAGCGGGCCTATGGTGATAAAGTTCATGGGCTAGAAGCATGTAGACAGAGCTCTGGAGGAGATTCCTCATCCCAAGTGTAAGCAGAGCTTTAAGTCCAAGGAATAAAAGGAGGGAGAGGGAGTGGAAGAGGAAGAAGAAAAGGAAGAGGAAGAGGAAGAGAACCAAGAGATCACAATTACACTTTCTCTAGTGACATTATTTCATGTGTTCATGGTAGTCAGGGTAGATATTACAAAGCAGATGATATTTGAACAAGGATGTGAATTAAGTGAGAGAATAAATTACTCAGATATCTAAGGGAAAATAGTTCTGGGCACAGGGAACAGCCACCAAAGTAGGGAGTGCCTGGTGTATAGGAGAAACAGTGAGGACAGTATCTGATACAGAGCAAACAAAGGAAAAAGTGGTAGAAGCTGGGGTCAGAGAGGTTAAATGGTAGGGCACAAGAGGATGACAGCCTACTGTAAGGACTTGGGCTTTTATGGCATGTAACATGGAACCATTTGAGCAAAAAAGGGATATAGTCTGACTTATGTTTTTAAGACATTCAGTCCGACTATTGTGTAGAAAATGTAATGATAGGGAGGGGGTAGCAATAAACAAAGATGAAAATAAGAATTCCAGGTAAGAAATTTTCACAAAACTCTAGACCTTAGTCAAAGTTCAAGGTGATATCAGTGGAAGTAATTAAAAAGATGCCAGTATATTCTGAAGGTAGAGAGAATGGATTGGTTGTAGGTATGAGACAAAGAGAAGAATGAGGACACCGATGGTTTGTGCAGCGTTATGGTTTGTATCTGGATGTCCCCCGCAAAGCCTCATGTGATCACAGAGGCAGGCTTTTCAGAGGCGACTGCATCTAGAGTTTATAATTGATTCATGGTCTAATGCTGGGATTAAGGGTATTGTGCTACACCTGCCCTAGGGTGGCTATCCTGCATACAACACAGGGATAGAAAGAGGCTTGACCCTGCTATCTCTCTTGCTGCTTTTGCTGTCTTCTGTCACCAGGAATTGTTGCCCCTCTGCTGTGCCACCCTGCCTTGGAGCCAGCCGATTATGGACTGAAACCTCTACAAACTATGAGCTAAATAAACCTTTTCTCTTTTAACCTTGGGTGTCACGTATTTTGTCTCAGCAATGAGAACAATAACTAAGACAGAAAGCATTTCTTTCTACTGCACTGTGTAGGTGATGCTCATGTGTATATGGGTGCTGAAATAAGACTGTTTCCCAGAAATATTTTTGAACCTCTGTATGACTTAGTTTCTTCTTCTCTAAGGTAGGAATTATTATAGTAGTGGTCTCACAAGATTGTTGATAGAACTAAATGAATTATCACATGTAAAGTGTTTCAAACTGTCTTTGAAAATGCTAGGTGAGTGACATAATTACTGATCATACACTTACATGTACATTGGCATGTAAAATATTGGCTTGTCCTACTTTTAATCACTCTTACTTTGGGTATTATCTAGGTGTTCTCTGATGGGATTTGACCTGAATCGTCACTGGCTGGATCCCTCTCCATGGGCCCACCCTACTCTACATGGGGTGAAACAGCTCATCATCCAGATGTACAATGACCCAGTGAGTAACTGAATCCTCTCAACAGCTGTGCGTCTCAGGGCTTCATCTGAGAAAAGTGTTGTACTGGAAAAGTTCACTTGGATATGGAAGTTAGGAATGCATAGGCAAACCCGGGAAGGGTCTAGGCCTGCACTTCTCCAAATTTACCAGATGCCAGTGGCTTTTCCTAATTCTTTGTTTCTTTCTACCCCTCACAATATTAAGTTTGCTAATGGTGGTCTCATGGCATTAAAGATATATATTGGAGTATGTCCATATTTGTCAGGACTTGCTCCTTGGCTATAAGATAAAGAACTACAACTCAAACTAATATAAGCAAAACAGAAGCATTATTAGAACACCAGGGGTATTTTGTATGGCTGAAGACTACAGCCTGGCCTCCTCCACATTTGGAGAATATGACTGCAAACTGTCACATCCAGTGGCTCTAGCTCCCACCACCACAGTGACTTGCTTTCACTTCCCAGTTTCAGGAACAAAAGGACTGGGATGGTCCTGGCTTGGAGGACATGTCCACCTGTGAGCACGCCAGCTCTGGCCCAAGAGGCAAGGACATATAAGGACAGGACAGCATCATGGGACCCATATGGTAGAGTGGGGGTGTGAGGTGGTATGTGTTCCAACAGAAGAGAGCCTACTATTCCGGAAGAAAGAGGGAAACTGGCATCAGAGCAATGGGTATCCACACCATGTTTGCACACAGGGGCAAGTTCTTGTCTGTAGGAAATAAGAGGAGATAGAGGAGCTTCATAGCTTAGAGAAGGGAGGAAGACCACAATCATTCTCTCTCTGAACTGTCAGATTTTCTTTCAGGTGGAGATCATGAGAAGAGATAGGGTCTCTAGGGAAATAGAACTGTTTAGCAATCAGTTACCTGAAAATAAAGTAGGTGTACGGGCTGTGCACTTTGCTATACTGAAAGTGTCCAACTTCAAGCTAAATGGTACTCTGTCAAATGGTGCATAGAGCAGACTCAATTGTTTAGAAGACATACTAATGAAATTACATCTGCATCCCTTCCCTCTGTGGTGATTTTAATTTTATTACACTTTAACTCTGATTAGTTGACAAATGGTGATAGCTAAGACAGCAAAGCTCTCCGAGTTGGGATGCTACAGGGTGGACCAGTGTAACCCATTGTACTTACTTTTGTTGACTATGCTACTAAAAATATCTACATTAAAGAGAGACATATATAGATCGGAAAAAATGTGTACTTAAAAGCAAACACATATATCAGAGCAATTACTAATAAAAAAGTAAGTCGTTAGGTGTAACATAGCTATCTTGGATATAACACAGCTGTTTTTATGATTGTGGATGTAAATTTTACTTTCCTGGGTTCTCTCTTGGCTTAACTTTGTTTCAGGGCTTGCATGGTCATAGTCTTAGTATATTGGCTTCCTTCTCTACTTTGTCCTTCCTAAACAAGGATGGTGCTAGATGTGCCCACCAAATTCCTTTATTGCCTGAATTCTCCATGCCATCCTGATTGGCTTTCCTTACAAAGAGAAGCCCTGTGTGATTTTCTCAGTGTATATTCTACGTAGTTCTCCCTCCCTGGCTTCTGTGCTGTCTGCACTCTCTTTGATAGAGTTGCAATGCTTTTCCCTGCTGCTTCCTCCTACTCAAGAGAATCATCCCTATATGTTTTCCGATCTGGCTGATAATAGATGTTCAATAACTATTTTTTGGATTGAACACGGTGAATCCTATTATGCCAAATGTAATATGGTTTACAGATACAAAACAATTATTCACCTCCAGGACAATGAGGCACAGTAAAAGAACACATACTGGGCCAGGAAGAGTGAGTGATAGAATAGAAGCTATGGGACAAAGTAATGTTTTAGCTGAATCCCCAAAGAGAGAACAGGGTAGGGTAAGGACAGGGGTTAAGGGTTGCTGACCATGAGACTTCAGCCTGCCACTGCCATCATCAATTAGAAGTTACAGATTTGCTCACAAACAACTGGACATTTGTCACTGTTACAAAACATAGACCAGGCAGAACTGAGTTGTAGAGTCATTAGGAAATTATTTACTGCACAAATAGATATGGCACGAACCGCCTGGGTCTTAGTAAGTACACCCTGAATGCTTGAATAGTTGTACAAACTATTTTTCTCTAAAATCTATGACTTTATACATCAAGCAAGGACATAGGGCATTAATATAGAAGTCAAGCTGACATGATGTGGGTTCCTAGCTCTCAGTCCCTTCCCTGCTCCTTCCGTCCTCACACAAAACTTTTTTGGTGGAGGGATTTAACACAGCACATGTTTATTATCTCACAGGTTGTATGGGTCTGTAACATAGGAACGGCTTAGCTGGGTCCTCTGCTGCACATCTCACAAGTCTGCAATCAAAGTGTCCATTTTGACTGTGATCTCACTTGAGGCTTCTTCCTTTCCCAATCCTTTACTCCATTCTTTCCTCCATTTCATATTTCTATATAGCAAGCACTGTTTCCACTAGTGAAGAATAAAAAAAACACTGAGCCTTGCAATATATGGGTGAATCTACATTAAACAAGTAAATACAGGTAAATATGAAATTATAAAACATTTCATGGGTTCTTCAGAAAAACAAAAGTGGGCTATGGATATAGCTCAGCAGCATAAGCACCTTCCTTGCAAGGACAAGGTCCTGAGTTTGATTCTGGATATAAAAAAATCACAAGAGCAGAATGGTCGTAAGTCTTGGTTTACATCTGTTATCCAGGAATAATTTTTAATGGAGTCCTCTTTCATTCCTAAAAATTTCTTGGTTTGGATGATAGATTATACATTGTTTATAGTTAAAAGTGTTATAAGGCTACCTAGGACAGTACTGTTTTGTAGCAGACCCTCAAGAAACGTTATTTGGTTCTGTTTCAAATTCACATTTGACTTATGGCCTTATTGTGCCCAGTTGCAAGACATCTGTCCTAATAGCTTTAAATATGTTTCTCCTTCTGACCTTCAGTGTTGCACATATTGTTTTTTCTTTTTTTATTGTTTATTGGTACAATAACATACACGCTGAATCTCTGTTCACACATAATGATCAGTTCATCATAGGAATACATAATGATCACACACACATAAGGATCAATTCATCATAGGAAATTTGTACCTGTATATGGTATATCTTGATTCTGCTTTTTACCCCAATCCCCTCCTTTCCCTTCAATCCCTCTTCTCCTTCTTATTTACAAAACTTTATTTCCATTTTATCCTTTTTTATCATTTTTTCCCTTCATTCTTTTTCCCCTCCCCCTCCCTAGTTCCCCCTTTTTGGGAACCATTTCTTCCTACTTCACAACACTTATTATACTCATTGGTCCTTACTTACACTTTGGGTTTGTCACATATATAACCACCATCCCTCAACCCTAAGCTAGTCCTCTGGAGGAAGACCTCTGTGTCCATCTCACTTGGCAATAACAGCTTGTTCTCTTTGTGTTAGTGATGGCATTCACTTTAAAGGCTGCTTGTCTAGCCCTATGCTCACTAAATCCTTAACACCTTTCGGGGACACTAGATAGTAAATGATTGTCTCAAAAAAGAAGTGCTTAACCCAGAGATTCCACAGAAGCTAAGATATTAAAGTGTTTCAGGATCCACATTCATAATAGCTTTCTCTGGGCAATGTGCCTTTTGTTAACCAGTTGCAATACATTATTCCCTCTTGGGGCAGAATCTGGCTATTTTTCTCAGGATCCTTGGTGCCCAGCTAAGATCTGACTCTAAGCATAAAAATGGAGCAACCAATAAAGCAAACCTGGAGCCACTAACTTGGCTTCAGACTTTCCTGAGGAGGAGAAGCATGGCCCCTCTTCTACCTCACCTGCCCTTTGGAGTATTCCCTGATTCCACTGCCACCATCATTGTGCCTTCGTTTAATTAAAGATTTGACCGGTGGCGCAAACCCTCACCTATGTTCACCTGCCACCTGCCGACACTGACGTAAACTTCCAGGGAGAGAACTCGGCATGACATCACCCACTCCTGTTTCCAGGACACAAATTGACCATTGTCACTGACTTGCTCCACTCAGACTCCCACGTTCATCACCACCCGTATTCCCAGGCCCCAGGTCCCTTGTCTTCCCACCACAACTAACCCCCACTGACCAATCACTTCTTGGTCAGCAGCTGAGCCTAGGCATTTTGGTATCCATAGTGGTGGTGAAGATCCAGAGAGCCATTTGCAATTCCACCCTTCACTGAGGTCGCTCCTTCCAAGTATGGTTTCAGATCTCAGAATACTTAAATTCTTAGTACCGGGAATTACATCACTTTTCAAGTGAGAAATCACTTCCTACCCATGGAAGTTTCACTTTCTGCTGGCACACATAGCATAGAGTATGACAGTGATTTCACATCACACAATCAGCTACCAACCACAGTCACTTTCTTAAGGCCACACACAAGGCCCTCCTCTCATACCTATACTGTTATGACCTTAAAAAGGTAAGACCTTTGCAACTCTAATAGCACCTGACTTTGTACCTGTGAGGTGGACCCAGAGCTGAGCTTAGTGAAGTGCAACACAAGGGCAGCATTTGCTTTAACACGCAGCAGGTACTTCTCAATATCACCATAAGGAAGATCCTTAGGTACTTCTGGGGCTACAGAGATTAATGGTCTAGGGTCCTAGGCCAGCAGGGGATTACAATCTTATGGGAAGACCAGGCTCTTAAGAAATGCTAGTCCAAGGCATTCAGAAAACTATGCTATAAAAAGAAATCATTGTACCTCAAAAACATGGGCCTGGGGGAAATTAATGCAAGTAGGGCATATTGTAGGGAGGTATTCAAAGAAGCCTTTGAAGATTTGCATTTGGACTGGGCCTTTAGAAGTGGATGATAATTTATCAAGGGGCCATGGTTTGGAGGAAGTGAAGCAGAGAAAGGGAGCAGGCATTCCAGGGAAGGCTGAACTATGGAGTGGAGGTGGGAGACCTCAGCTGCTGGGCTGGTGTTCAGGATTTACCATAGAAAATCGGGAGAGGGCA